GAAAAACGATTTTTCACTTGCAAATAGTTGAAAAAGAAGACTCAATACGTTTATCATTATTTATTTCTTTATCTTCTTTTAGTGACATTGAAAAAACATTTGAAAAGTTTTTAAATCTTATATTAATTAGTCAATTAGCTTATGAAACACATTTTAAAACTGTTGCTTTACCGGAGGGATTATTTCCCCCATAATTCATGAAGTTAACAGCCTGACTTCAGTAAATAAATGCCTAAATGTATAAGTCTTTTTGAATGGTAATAAATGCAGGTTCTCTTCATGCATGTGTGGGTTTTTTCACCTGATACTCTGGTTTCCTCCCGCAGACCAAAAACATGAATGTTAGGTTAGTTGGTAACTCTAGGTGTAAGAGAGAGAGTGTTAATGTTTATTTTGTCTTGTGATGGACTTACGACCTGTAGGGTGTCCCCCGCACCTTGCACAGACACAGCACCGGTGACCCTGAAAGGTGGAGGGTAAAAGATGATGGATGGATGGATGTGTGAAGTGAGGCTTGTTAAAGGCTCATTCTTTCGCACTAAGTTTTGCTTTGCTGATTTTTGTATGAATAAACCTTGTTTTTTCTGCATTTTGTATTTGAGCCAGCCTGTGATGGATCCAAACTGCCCTGGGTGTACTCCACTGACCCCAGCTCCTCTTGACCCTAAACAGGGTCAGACTGGAATGCGAGGTGAACAAACCAGGATATCACATATTCCTGCATGAACTCGATAACGTCACACTGCTAGGATCGCTCTTTAAACACCACTGATCTTTTAGTGAAGAGTGAAAATGTGTGACTGAAAAGCAAACTTTTAAAGCACTTTAACATGTAAAAGTTAAATAACCCAGATCCCTTGAGACATTATTCAGTTTGCAAATGTTCCTTTAGAAACTGATGGTAGTTTTTTAATGAATTGTCCAAGCCATAATGAAAAGAATGAGCAGTAAGAAAGCACATATTAATTGATTTTTGTAATACATATATATTTTCCTGTTTTTAATTCTTGCTGGAAAACAGCACTGCTGCTCTCTCTCTCTCTGTTTCCTGTAGGAAATCAGCTTTGTAAAAAGTTGATCAGTGTATTTTTGTACCCTTCAGCTAACCTGCTGTTCAGTTTTACTAAATGTTCATTTCCAGTTTGGTGAAAGTGTTTTTTATTTTTGTCATTGTTGGAGTTTTTGCTGTTTTTGCAAAAATGGACTAAATGTTATTTACACCTTCTGTTGCCCAAAACAAGTTGGTGGGCAGTATGCATTCCATCAACAAGTGCTTGTTTCCCATCTAGCATACCTTTTAATGCACGTGTCAAACTCGAGGCCCGTGGGCCAAATCTGACGCTCATTCACATTTTATCTGGTCCTAAAGGTAATATTTTAAATGTAAATTAGTTTTGTGATTTATCTTTTTTGTTTCAGTATTTGGTGCATTCTTCTCATGAGTTAGCCAACTTTCAAGCCAAGAAAATGAAGTTAGAATTTTTCAGTAATCTTTGATTTAGGTGAGGAAAGAGCAACAGAGAACTGACTTCAATCATCATTTTTGTACTGGATTTTTGGAGTTTTTTTCATCTAATTTKCTGGATTGTAATAAAAGGTATCTTTAAGATGTTTGTTCTGAATGCTACACAAAACATAAGTTGGAAAAGGTCTATTATACTTCTCTATGACTAATTTATTCTAACATTTCTTCAATAAATATTGACAAAAATTGGCCCTTTGCTTGGGCCAAGTTTTGATTTTTGATCCCATTACTGAGATTGACATAATTTGCTTTAATGTAACATCTATTATTATTAACATGCATATGTAAAATAATCATCATAATTGTCAAAGCAGAAATAAATGAGCTTCAAACAAAACTGTTATTGTGTATATTTATTGATAGTAAGACCACTGATGGTGACTTAGTCAAATGTAGACAGCATGGTGCAATTCTTCATGAGTGTCTAGTGACCCCATGTGTAAGCTAGATGGTATTACACTTTAGTATTTACAGAACAATAAATTGGGAGTTGAGTGCTGGAAAACATACATTCACAAACTAAATTTACAGTTCAGAAAGGAAAAATTAAAGAAGCCACAACAAAATACTGACCAAAAAACTGAAACACTGCAGGAGCCACTAAGTGATGCTCGCTTTTACTTAAAGAAGCTAAATCACACACGCACACTCTCACACACAGAAAACGGGAGCGGGCGGTAGAAAACGTTCAAGTGAAACTGTAAATCTAACAAAACCATAAAACAGCTAAACTGTGCACTAGTCTCAACAAAACATCAGCTACAATTCTCTTTTTTGTCAGTGCAAGTTTCTTATAAACTATCAAACAAATACCGATTCAGAGCACAAAATGTGGATTTAAAACCGTGACACAACAGTTATTCTGAGTAGCATATTAGTAAGTGAAACGTCACATCATATAAATTACATTTCCAATACATATCTACAGATGAGGGTGACGATGATGGCAGCAGCAGGCTGATGGACCACACGGAGTACCATAAACCTTTTTTCATCTCTCATTAAACCACTCCATCAGAAGAAAACAATTCATGACCCTGAAGCTGAAAACGACTGATCTGCTGAGTTTTTCCGGCCAAAAGCTTGACAAAAACAAGATTTTCAGTGAAGTCCTGGCAATTGGTTTAACAAAACTACATAAAAACAATGACTAAAACAAAACTGAAAACACAAAATGCATCTTGAATCATCTGGCAGTGTCCAATCCCTTTCATACAAAGTATTAATTTAGTCATCATCAGTGCAATTAGGGCAGCTTAAAAAACAACACTAAATACAGCTTGTTTTAGATATTTGTATACCTATCATGGGCAATGACGAGAAGTGTCTTTGGTGGAGTCGAGGTGACGACTTCAAGCCTAAAAACACTCTACAAACTGTCGAGCACAGAGGTGGTAGGTGCTGTGGTACTAATGCATAGCACAAAGTGACTGGAATAAAGAAGGAGGTGGTCTACCTCTAAACCCTTCAGCTTCACCTCAAATCAGCAGCTGGACGTTTGGAGCTTGGGACACATTTAGATGTTCTAAACAGGACCATGATCCCAAATATACACATCAGAACTGGTTTCTGACCGAATAAATCATGGTAACACYAAGCTTCGGAAGGAACTTTCTAAAATTCCGAAACACAAACCCTGATGAAAATTTGTGGACAATGCCGAAAAACTGATTCCAATCAATTTCAATGAACTCTACCGTTTTGGCTAGAGAAGTGGTCAGAGATCAAAGTCAGAAAGTTGCTAAGCCTGTGGTTGAGGTGAAAACTGCTAAAGATCATTTAATCAAACATATAAATTTGAGCTTGTATTACTTCAAAGAAAATTCACAATAAATTCAAATTGATGCACCAAGTCCTTGTTAAAAACTCATAGAGGTTGCACGTTGAAAATTTTCAAATCAAATAATAAAAGCCCTAAAATTGACAACATCCATGTCCATGATGAGTGTGTATAAATTTTTTGACCGCAACTGTAATTCAATTCATTTTGTCTGTATTTTTATTCAACAAGGTGTAACTGTATTAGTACACTTTAAAAACACACTGTTCAAAAAGTCTGCACTTAGTGGGCTAACTTTAAAAATGAACAAATTCATTCAGAGCCTGAAAAGACCAGGGGTCCATTTATAAAGGATTGCGTGGAAACCATACTAAAAGTGAACGTACGGCCAAAAGGCGGAAATGGC